ATATATATATTAGCTAATAGTTGGTATATTTTAGCTAATATATGGTTATTTCAGTATAAATAATTACAGTATGAAGCCTCCTTTCATTTTTAGTCATTTTGTTATGTGCTTTTGTCATTCTTCTTATTTAGGTTCATTTGTTTTATTTCAATTTTAGTTTAGTTCGGCTTTTATTTATTTTCAGTCAGTAAGTTTTGTGCTTCAACTTTTCTAATTTAGTTTTTCATTTATATTTTATTTTATTTTAGCTTTATTCCAATTAACAGAATTGATTTTAATAGTTCTAGTTTTAGTTAATGATAATAATTCTACATTTTTTACCCCGTAAAGTTAACCAATACTGTATTTACTAATTATTTTCCATTAATTACCCAAACCAATTTCCGTAATAAATGCTAAATGGCTCCATACTCTGTGTTTTTGTTTATGCCCGCAGGGCCCGGACCGGGGCGTTATGCTCTTCCGCCCACTGTCGGTTACATAAACCATGACTACACCAAACCCAGCAGCCCGGCCTATTCCTTCCACAGCCGCATGAGCAGCAACAGTGAGTGACATGACATGAAATCAAACACTGACAGATGACATGATCCACTTAACTAATGCTGGTTTCAGTCATATGAGAATGCTTTTAACAAGCATGTTCATGCATAAAATGGATATACATCAACATGGCACTTATATGAACTGATCATTTCATAGATTAATTAGTGTCTATTATGAAGTACTGAAATATTAGGTGGATTTACACACACACTCAAAATCCTCATGGTAGGAACTGAGAACACCCAGTCTGATCAAAGTATTCACACAAAAAACTTTGCACATCTGGACTTTATATCACAAACAACAGCATGCAATATAAGGATTAATGTTATTTCACTGGCATATTAAGCTAATAAAATCCATATGTTGCTTGATTTTAATCCTTATGTTTGATTTTAATAACTTTAAATAGCATTTCTGTAGCTCAAACAGTAGAGCATGGCAAGGTTGTAGAATCGACTGCAGGGAATGCATTAAAATATTCAACACTCAAAAAAAAAATGATACAGAACCTGCCACTGCATGGTACCCTTTCAAAAAGGTACACTTTTAATGAAGGTTAATTACCCTCAAAGGGTGCATATTAATACTTTAAAGGTACTACAGGGAAGTCGTGGCCTAATGGTTAGAGAGTCGGACTTGTAACCCAAAGGTTGCGGGTTCGAGTCTCTCGAGTCAGGTGGGGATTGTAGGTGGGGGGGAGTGAACTATTACCTAAAATTCAAAATATAAAAAAAAAAGATAAAAATCACTTTATCAAAATTTCACCATCCAGTTAGGCTCATCAACCATAACTCCTTCAAAAACAGCTAGAAACCTTGGAGTTGTGATTGATGATAAGCTGAATTTCTCAGACCACATTGCTAAAACTGCCCGGTCCTGCAGATTT